CAGGCTTACTGGGCTCAAATATTTATACTACCTAAGAAGATTATAAATATGATTGAAACTATATGCAGAACATTCCTTTGGACTGGCTCAACTGCCATATCTAGGAAAGCACTGATAGCTTGGGACAGGATCTGTCAGCCTAGAGTAGCTGGGGGAATAAATATTATCAACATGAGGCTACGAAATAAAGCAGCAATCCTGAAATAATTATGGGCACTGACAACGATGAAGGATGCTTTATGGATCAAATGGACCCACTGCTACTACATAAAGCAGAAGGGGATTGATACAATGGACACACCTAAGACAGCTGCTTGGGTGGTCAGGAACATCATAGAAGCAAAGAAAGACTTGGTGCAGGTGAGCACAATGCAGACCAACCTTACTACAACATTGGCAGAGATGGTGAAGCAAGGCAGATTCTAAATTCAGAAGGCCTACATTCAAATGCTTCCTCAGTTCCCCAAGGTTAGCTGGAAGAGCATACATATGCATCTACTAGTCCACCCAAGCTTCAAGTTTCATTTATGGTTGGCAATTCATCAAAGGTTAGCCACTGTGGATAGACTACTCAAGTTTGGGATTCAAGTGCCATAAGAATGTGTTTTTTGTGCTAAGAGTATGGAAACATTTAGTCACCTTTTCTTTGAATGTTCATGTACAAGCATAATATGGGATAAAATACTCAAGTGGCTGGGAATTACAAGAAGAACTGGGTGCTCGCAAACAGAGGTAGACTGGATCAGTGACATAGCTAAAAGGAAAAATTCCATGGCAGCTATAATCACTCCAGCTTTTGCAATGATAGTGTACTATATTTAGCATGAAAGGAACTCCATTAGATTCAACAAAGACAAATATGTGGTGGATGATATATGTAAAGAGATTTCCCTACATATGCACATACAAGGAAAATCAAACGGCAAATGGCAGCCAACTTTGCAAAGATTGAACAAGTACCCGTATAATAGTTGTTAATTGCTTGACAGTGTAATTAGCTTAGCTATTGTAATAGTGAATAGGAGGATGATTGTCAGCATCACCCTGGTTTTGTAAGAACAAACTTTTTTTGATAAAATGAAAAGTCAGTTTAATCAAAAAAAAAAGAGGAAGGAAGAGAACAAACAAAATCCTTAAGATATCCTGGAGGATTATGAGGTCTGGAAGACCTCCTCACAGGAGCATCACTAATAGAGGAGGGAGGAGGGAGATCAGAAGAAGGTTAAGGGGTAGAAGCATCAGGAGTAGAAGGTTGAGAGGAAGGAGAAACAGAGGAAGGAACGAAAGAATAATTAGTAGGAAGGGAAGAAGGGGAGGTAAAAACAGAATGAAGAGGGGAAAGATTGGTAGAGAAAGGGAAAATGAGTTCATGGAATTGAACATCCCTAGACACAAAACAAGTCTTGGAGACAAGATTGTACAGTTTGTAACATTTCTTAGCAAAGAGATACCCTAGAAAGACACAAGGAACAGACCTAGGGTCAAATTTGTCCCTATGAACCTTAGGAACAGTAGCATAACATAAGCAACCAAAAGTCCTAAGGTGAGCATAGGATGGGGCAGAACCATAAAGCAATTCAAAAGGGGCTTTATTCTTTAACAGGGGAGAAGGGAATCTGTTAATGAGATATGTGGCAGTTAAAATGCAATCCCCCTCAGAAAGAGATAGGGAGCTTAATTGAAATAACAAAGCTCTAGCACTCTCAAGTAAATGCCTATGCTTCTTTTCTACCACACCATTCTGTGAACTTCGAGCATAATATACTAGAGTTCCAGCATAATATAGTGGAGTTCCAACATAATATGCTGGAAGTTCATACACATGTGCTCCAATCTCCGGTATATTAGGCTGGAACTTTCCGTGTGCTGGAGTTCCAGCATAATATGCTGGAAGTTCCTACACAGGTGCACCAATCTCCAGTATATTATGCTGTAAATTTCCATGTTGCAGCAAAATGCTAGCTATATTTCAATGACTTTGCAAACACTGGCTGTTTTTTAATTACCAGTCCGAAAACTGGCTAGCCCGTGCTATTTTCCCAATTTCTTTTCAAGCGAGCCTTTTTGTGTTTTTTTTCGTTTTTCGTTGGATTTGTTGGGAAGTCCATATTGGGCTGAAGGGCTTCCTAATAAACACACGGTTCGAACCCGAGTGAAGGAGTAATTACCACTAATATAGGTCAGTAATTCGAATTACTTATTCCAAGTTTTCCTCTGTCACTGTATACTTATAATTTAGTACTTGCAAAGGTTGGTTTTATAAAGGTTCCTTCACATTGTATTTCCTTAGATCAGTTCATGAATTCAATGTAGAGGAGATACTCGTTTTGTATCTGATTGCATCCCCTGGATGCTTAGCAATGCAACTTATTACTTCATCGTAAAAAAAAAGTTCGATGGAATTTTGAAATTTAATCGCTTAAAAAATTATTGGCATTTGTCAAATTGCAACACTGTTTTGAGCAAATGCAAACATTTCTAATCGATTTTTAAATTTATAGGTATTTGTATTTTGATAGCTGAGTATGCAATTCCAAAGAGTGCTTGGGATCAGGTATTTCTTTCATTGGTATAAAACTAATAGATGTTTAATATGTTCCTTGTTTTTCCTTTATATTTATACAGTTATTTTGGTTTCTCATTATTGTCTAATTAAATGCATTGCACCGTTGCATATTAACTGTTACAGTCTTATGAAACAGTGATTGACCAATCTTTCCATAGTTTTGTTGTAATTTCCATAGTATCTTTTTCCTGTCTGCCTTGTTTATACAAGTGCTGAACTTATCGAAAATTATCTGTTGGTTGTAAAGTTGTTTCGCCTTGAAACTTTGATTTTTTTAATCTAGTTTCCTTACCAGATTTTAAATTATTTTTGATTCCTTCAACTGATATGAAATCTTTTTGAACAGATTTCTTTATGAAAAGATATATCTCCGTTAAACAACGTGCGAAACTCTGTGCAATGAACTATTACTTCATTGAACAGGTTACTTCATGGAGCAATTTGCTTTAGTATGTTCTCTTGGTTATCTTATCAGAATACATTGATATTACTATTTCAGTGAAGTACTTAAATAAAAATTGAGGAATATTTTACATGAACTAAACCATTGCTTTATGATTATCCCCATCATCACAATCAGCTACAGCCATAGTTGTCATGCTGTGCACATTCTTGTAGGTATAACTCCTTGCAACAAAAGCATAGACACACAAATTTACTGCTGTGATGGTAGCCAACAACCAGTAGAAATAGTCAAGGTGGCTGCTATTTAGATCCTTCCCAAACCAACTCTTGCCACTGTTCTCTGTGATATGATCCACAATGGTTATCAAGAGGCTGCTAATGAAGTTTGCAGCACCAATCACACTAAGGTAAAGTGCGATGCCCAAGCTCCTCATGGTATCGGGTACTTGGTCATAGAAGTATTCTTGCAATCCCACTAGGGTAAATCCATCTCCTATTCCAATGATAAGGAATTGTGGTGCTAGCCAAAACACACTCATTGAAGCTGAACCCTCAAAAGGATTTTTATGAACAACATTCAGTCTCTTTCTCTCAACCAAAGCTGCAACTACCATAGTAGAAACCGAGAAGATCATTCCAATACCGATCCTTTGGAGAATACTAATGCCTCTCTCACTTCCTGTTGCCCTTCTCATGAAAGGTACAAGGATTTTGTCATAGATTGTGACGGATATTATCATGCCAACTGCTGTCAGGGCATAAATTGAGGCTGGGGGAATCTCAAAATTGTGAATGATTTTCCGATTCATTGTCATGCCTTGTTTTATGAAAAAAGTTGCAGCTTGTGCTACACATATACCAAAGGGTAAAGTGGTTAGCCAAATAGGAATCATGTTGATAAGTAGCTTCAGTTCTTCCACCTTGGTCACAGTTGCAAGTTTCCATGCATTCTGTTGCTGTTCTATTGAATCTTGTGTGTGATCCAGGATTGCAGCTTTATCAAGGAACCTGTAAAGTAAAATCAAAAATTGTATTCAATACTACAATCCATGTTTCCTGAGTAATTGCATGACTAATCATGACTAAGTTTCGAATCTTACTTCAGCTTTGTGGTGTGGCCTAAGAGCTTCCTTTGGGTAGTTTCTGACTTGGGAACTTCATGTAGATGAGAAGGATTTGAAGGAAGATGAAGATTTCTTTTTCTAATTGCAGCTACTAGCACCTGTAGCATGGGTGTAAATGGACTTCCAGTTGCTTTTCTATAACGATAGGATGGCCGCCCTGCAATGAAGATGGCTATACTAGAAGCCATAACTACTGTGAGTATTATATCTGCCATAGCCCAGCTAACATGCTCTTGGACATAAACGATTAGAGTAACACCAAGTAATAGTCCACAGCATAGCCCAAAGTTCCACCAGTTGAAAAAGGACATCTTCTTTCTCCTTTCTTCAGGATTTTCATCATCAAACTGATCAGCTCCAAAGCTCTCTAGAGAAGGCTTGTGTCCTCCGGTTCCAATAGAGATTAAGTAGATCGCAAGGAAGAAAATTGGCTCGTGGACCTTCCTCGGTTCATCACAGAGATTACTGTCACAAGGTTTTAAGCTTGGGACCACTCTAGACATTGTCAAGAGAAGCAAGCCCTGATCCACATTTAAGCGAGAACAAATAAGAGAGAATTTTTGGGTGTTGGGCAAACAATTATTTTTTTCGATATCTAAATATTCCAATGATTCTACAACCAAAATTTGTGTTTATGCAGAGATGATAATGTGATCCATTTCTTGTTGTTTAAATAGGATTTCCAGAAAGTATTCATTTGCTATCTATAAGTAGAGGATTGTTACCAATCATTGAAAGCTACAATATGGATTTTAGCCGATTTCAGCTTTTAACACAGTTCATTACCGTTACTACTCTAGTAGGGTCAACAGCTTTTGCACATGCTTTTATTTATTGTAAGGAAATACTCTAAAAAGCCATTCCATGTTGTAAATTGCAAGGAGCAGAAATTGTGGTTACCAGGAAGTAGACTGTGGAAGAGACAAGAACGGTGGAGAATCTTCCCAAGTATGCGTCAGCCAGAAAGCCTCCAAGCAATGGCATCAAAGTGGTAACTCCTGACCAGTAGTTCACACTTTTTGCTGCTGTTTTGAGGTCTTGATGGATGACTTTTGTTAGGTATATGATCAAACTTGTGGCTATTCCAAAGTAACTCAGCCTCTCACTGAATTCAATCGCTGTTTGAAAGGTAACAATTTTTCAGTATCTCCATTTACATAACCGTAAAGGAGCATGTTCAACAAAATGAAAATCTAATGACATTTAAGTTTAACCTATTCAATTGCATATAATCCCAGATCACTATATGGTGTAATTTTTTCTACCACTTCGCTTAATGGCATATAGAATAGTCTTCATGTATAAGTTGTAATTCTTAATATCCTTATAAAAAACAGTTGTAATTCTTATTTCTTAATATAAACAAAGATGTAATGAAAAAAAGTATTGTGCTAAGATACTGCATAGTATTTGGGGCTATGATGGAATGTAGGACTAGGACAATTGCAGCAGCAAGAGAAGGCATTAATCTATTATGCAATTTATCCTGGGAGATAGTTACTATGGTTCATGTAGTGACCATATGCATTTTTTCAGTTAGTTCCTTAACTTAAGAAAAATGAAAAGATATTTGCAGAGAGCAGTGAGTTATTTACTTCTCCATTGACCACAGGCTTTTTATCGAACCACGACCAACCAAATGTAGAAATGTCTATTTCTTGAACAAGCTGATAGCGCTTAAAAGGTGGTGATTCTATTCAGTTAATTCTTGATTAGTCGTTTCCTGACAGATGAACTACTAAATCATATAAGCTTATGAGCATTTATTGGATGCTATAATTCTTCCGTTATCCTCCGTAGATAAAATAATTAAAGAGAACAAATGACTCAAGAAAATAATTTGGGAAAAGCTTAGCCAGTTTCTGATTTAGGAGCTTACTCACATAAGTTTGGATTGCACAGAAGCGACTGAGATGAAAAACAGTATTAGAAGGGAACAGTTTCAATAGCATGCAAATAAGCACTTTTGAGGAATATCCACCCTCCCATATCTGTCTGTTCCTTGTGCTTCAAATGCCTGGTTTAAGACACAGTTTCAAGCATTCCTTTTGCTAGTTTGGGAAAGTTCCTGTATATTTCTTAATCGTGGAGTTCTTTTCTTGTTAAAGACCAAGCAGTCGTCAAACTTACAATATAAAATTAGTAACTTGACTCCTCTTGTTGTTATGACTTACCTACTATTCCAATCATGCAGCCGTGAGCATCATGGAAATGGAATTTTAACACATATGAAACCTAGTTTTGACTTATTTCTTAAGAGAGTGATAGTTAAATTAGTATTTGGCCAATTTCTCTTGTATATGTTAAAAGCATCTATTCTAGCTAGTATTAAGCTCATGATTGCTTACGATAAGCTAGAGCTCTTTTTTATCTTAGTTCTATGGATAGCTTAGGACTGGAACTTACAGTAGAGATAATTGTATACTATGAACAATCTAAACTGAAGAAGCCATTCAAAATTTCTTTATCTTTGAGTAATTATAAATCATGAGAGGGAGAACAATTAGACATATAATTGAAGCTATTGAGTGCATTCCATTTGTTGGATAGATGCTTACCAATGATGAAGAGGGAGGCCTTCCAAACACCAGTTGAATCCCTAAGAGGAACTCTTCCTTTATGATCGACAGAAGAATCATAAACCCATTTTCCCCCATCTATTTCTACTGATTCTGCTTTCATTACCTGTTCTATCTCCATATTTATCTTATTCATTTTCGGGCTCTAAGATATCAGAGAGGATATAGCAGTACTAAAGCAGCTGAGATAAGAAGCTTGTTGGCTGGATGCATGAGTTTGTACATATTATATAGGAAGAAGAATTCCTGCTCACTACTATTGTGAAAATTCCTGAGAGTGTGAGTGCCAATAAGTGTGAAAGTAAATGGAATTTATAGCCAATGATTGTGACTTGAGGTAGACAGACAACTCTTTCCACTAAATTAAAGCAGTACTTGGCTCTTAACAGCGAATGGCATCGATGCTACAATCAGATTCTTCTATTTGGAACTCTTGGCACAAAAGTGGCCATGATAGGTATTGCAGAGGCCTAAATTGACCTTATTACAAGAGGCATCAGAGAAGTGTTTTGACGGTTGTATTGTTTTGCACCTCTGAAATATTAACACCTTTTTGTTCACACTGTTCCTTGTTTTTGTCTTTTATTTTGTTGATAGGACTCGAATACATACTGTGGGTGTGAAATGCTGGATTGCACTTATGTATGGTGTTACATCAGATGCTATTGAAGAAGAGTGTAATCTTAGGGTCCTTATTAAGGGGATAGTTTACTATTAGAAGGATAGGAGTAACCACCAAGAGGTCTCAGGTTCTAATCCTAGTTATATAGTGTGAGATCATCTCGACCTTTTTAGGCAAACTTTACCTGACATATGTTTGTGTGGGTTGCAGTAGGCAGCCTGGTTGATTAGTCGAGGTACACACTAGCTAGTCCGAACATCATTCTCACAAACAAAGTGCAATAACTGATATCTTTAACTGATGTTCAAAATATGAGGAATTTTGTTGTAATTCCTAGTAACTGTGGGTAAATTTTTTGTCGTTCTTGGAAGTACTATAAACTTCTTCCTTTTTTTTTTTAATAAACAAAACTGGCATTTTATTCGTCTTCCAGCAAAAAAGAGTACAATGATCTGAGGGAGCTGAAGCTAACTGCAAGCTTCCCTAGTTAGTTTTGAAGATAGTTTTAAACTATCTTTGATACAATGGAAGATGAAGTAAATGAGAGTCAAGTCATATTTTTGAATCATACTTACGCAAAAGTCAGTTGTTTATTTTACTTTCCTGGCTTGGTTCATCTTGGTGACTGTTACAACAAGCTAAGATAATGGTGATAATAAAGGCCATTGATATTTCTGATTCCACAAAGTAGATTAGTACATTCTTTCCATTTTACATGACAGGCTTGTTATTTTGAGCGTTTTTTAACAATTATTTTCTTGGTTATTTGGAGAACTAGACAAAGTGACTATTAAAAAAAGAACAAATGTCTGATGTAATAAAGTGATTCTTTGATTTTAGTATTGCAAAGTTGTAATTCCTTTTGGAGAAGGAAGAGAATATTCAAAAAGCAGGATTAATGCAGTAGACAGCAACCAGTGTCTGAATTTTTTCCATTTAGTTCATTGCTGGTTGTTGCCCAATGAAGTGTGTTCATATCTCAAAGCCATAGCTTTAATTTGGTATATTAATAGGAGAATCAAGGTTATAATTATTTTACTTAACTGCTACAATTAAATAGGATATCTGGAAGTCAATGCTAAGTAAGAACAATTACTATAAACATGTTCTTCCACCAGTAGTATTTTAAGCTGAATTTTTATGCTTCATTAAGCCACTCCACTCCATCATGAAGTTGTGGTTGAACTATAGTTCAAGCAGTTTGGTTTTTTTTGGAGGAGATTACTTATGAAGACTTCGGATTTGTGAATTAATTATAAAAAGTTCTTAATGTTTCCTTCTTGATAGGGAGGTGAGAAGGCTGGTGGGATGCTCAAAAATACAAATTATATATATAACATCAAATATAAAAGGTTAACATCACCAGGTTGTGGTAGGATGAATAAGATTGTTCCACTCTTAAACTAGAGATATCGAGTTCGAGCTCTGGGAATAAAAAAGTCTTGGTACAAAGTACTTTTCTTTTAGTGGATATTATGTAAAGTGAATACGGATTAGTTGGAGCTTAAAGCAAGTATCGAAAAAAAAAAAAGATAGAAAATATTAACGGTGGGAAACATATTAAATTTATATAATTAGGGTAATATTGCTTAAAGCAACTTCTCAGTTTTCTCACATGATCAAAATGTATTCAACAACTAAAATAATTACCTCGCCGCCCTCAATCGCACAAGCATGTGAAAGTAATTGTATGTACAAAGAAAAGTTCCCACATACAAGCGACACAATCAACATGTTACTTGACAAATACAGGTGAGTGAAACTTAAACCTAAAAGATTTTAAAGTGGAGTAGATCTGTAGATGCCTCACGTACATTAAGAAACTCAAAATCAACGTGTTGGAAATTCTTAAAGTAGAAGTGTGCAAGAGGAAGAACTTTGTCCCATATTGATTCAAGGCAACTTTTTGTTACCACTTTATAAAGTGGACCTTTGCTACGTACCTCTATAATAATATACTTAATAAAATCTGTACCCTATTCTAAAAACACCTTAACTCTTAGCCAAGCGGGAAGGAATAACCATTTAAGTATTGTATCTATTTGTTACCTATTAAGCAGTGGCGGATGGGGTGTACATATTAAATTTAATTTAAATTTTATATCTGTCTCTAATACTAATGTTATGTTGACACGGATTAACATACATGACATGATATATATGGGCGATGTGCACAAATAGCCACTAACAACACCTGTCTTTATTTTAAAGCCAGTGTTTTAAATGTCTTTACTCTTTAGCCGTTGGTTTAATAAACTTATACCTGACTGGACGAAAATACCCTTCTGCTATAACTTATACCTACGCTTTTATTAACGAGCAGTAGTAGCAGCAACAGCAGTAGCAGCAGCAGCAGCCAGTGATCGTAGAATCCAATTTCAAACTATAGAATTCAACATTCTCATCCAAAAATCGACATAGATTTACAGTAAGTTATACTTCTATGCGTTTCTATTGATTTTTATTTCGACATAGTTATACTTTTTCCGATTTCTATTGATTTTTATATAGTAAGTAGATATTTGATTTTTTTTTTGAATTTCTGGATTGATAAAGTTAAGGACATCGCGTCCTGTGATAATTCTATAAAATTGAGCACATAATATTAAGAACATAGTGTCCTGACTTTGCAAATTGAATTGAAAAAGTTAAGGACACAATGTCCTTAACTTTGTTGCTGTTCTTCTGTATATTAAGCACATACTGTCATAGTTTTGCAAATTGTTTTATAAAATTTAAGGACACTTGGTCCTGAACTTTGAGCTTCAAGTTGAAAAGTACAGGACACTTGGTCCTGAACTTTGAATTACATGTTCAATATTTAAGGACAGTTGGTCCTTAACTTACAGTTATTAGTTAAAAAGTTAAGGACAGGTAGTCCTTAACTTACAGTTATTAGTTAAAAAGTTAAGGACACTTGGTCCTTAATTTTGGGTTTCAAGTTCAAATGTTAAGGATAGGAGTCCTTAAGTTTGACTTGCAGGTTCAAAAGTTAAGGACAGGCAGTCCTTAAGTTTGAATTACAGGTTCAAAATTTAAGGACAGGCAGTCCTTAACTTTGAATTCCAAGTTCAAATGTTAAGGACACTTGGTCCTTAACTTTGGGTTTCAAGTTCAAAAGTTAAGGACATGAGTCCTTAAGTTTGACTTGCAGGTTCAAAAGTTAAGGACAGGCAGTCCTTAAGTTTGAATTAAATGTTCAAAAGTTAAGGACAGGCAGTCCTTAACTTTGAATTCCAAGTTCAAATGTTAAGGAAACTTGGTCCTTAACTTGGTCTTGAACTTACAGTACCTGTTCTTAATTATACAAGGATTGCATTATAAAATATGTCCTTAGTTTCCCATTCTCTTGACTTGCAGGATGGAAACAATATGCATTATAGTTGCTTTTAATGGTAGATGGACTGAAGACTATAAATATCTTGATCATCAAACAAAGCTTGTTCTAGTACCTGAGGCAATTCGGTTTGAAGATTTCATTAAACAGATCTTTAAAGTTATTGAATTGGATAGACACAAGTTTGAAGCAGTGATATGGTTTGATATCAATCTTGGAACAAGCAAGGGAATGCTTGTATCCAAAGATTTAGATCTTCACACATGTATAGAGTTACTAAAAACTCATTCACTCTTCAAGGGCTGTCGTTTCATTGTTGATATTTCGGAAAGAGTTTTTGGATCAACAAGCAACGAACATGTCAACACAGAAACTCAACATGACAATCAAAACAAATGCCAACAAATAATGAAAATAGATATGGTTGAAGCTCAAGCAATGACTGAAGAGGTGCTTCAAACACATGTCAACAGAGAAACTCAACATGGCAATCAAAATAAATGCCAACAGATAATGAAAATAGATATGGTTGAAGCTCAACCAATAACAGAAGAGGTGCTTCAAACATTTGATTCCATTCAAGTAGAAGGACAAAGCATTATAGAGATTGACAACGAACAAGTTTTGGGTATTCAAGTCTTAGAGAGTGCACCGGTAATCAAAGAAGTTGCTGAAAAAACCTCTACTCAACTAACTAGAAGAAGAACAAATTTGAAACAAAAAGAATCCCCAACTACGATATTAAGAGAAAATGCTTCGTTGGATGAAATAAAAGTGGGATCAGTATTTGACAAAAAGAAGAGTATAGTTAACTGTTTTTCGAATATAGCAATTAAAGGACATTTTGAATTCAAGGGTTAGATCAAGCTCAACAAGATATTCGTTGAAATGCAATGATGATAGGTGCGGTTGGTGTGTGCGTGCTTTCAGAATTTAAAATTCAACACTGTTCAAGATAGTAAAGATTGAGAAAAAACATGACTGCTCTGTTAACACTATGAAAGCTGATCAAAGGCATGCAACTTCAAAGTTGATTAGTGGTTACATTATCGACAATTTTCGAGACCCAAGGTTTGAAGTTACACCAGCTTTTGTCATGGCAGAGATGCAAAAATTGCATGGACTAGACATTGGATATCATAAGGCGTGGCGTGCTATTCAACTTGCTTCCGCTTTAATAAGAGGAACTCCCGAAGAGAATTATGAATTATTGTCTTCATACTTGTATATGATGACAAGTAAAAACCCGGAAACTTATACTAACATAAAGATAGACGACAACAACAGGTAAACAATCAAAAAAAAAGTTTATTAGTATGTTTTATAAAATTTAGGACATGCTGTCTTTAACCAGTTAACTTTTGAGTTGTAACCAGAAGTTCAGGACTGGTTGTCCTTAACTTTTGAACTTGTAATTCAAAGTTAAGGACTGTCTGTCCTTAAGTTTTGAACTTTGAACTCAAAGTTAAGGACTGCATGTCCTTAACTTTATAACTTGAAACTCTAAGTAAGGACTGACTGTCCTTAACTTTTAACCTTGTAATCTGAAGTTCAGGACTACTTGTCCTAAACTTCTGTTAACCTTGTTTTATATTGTATTTTTCAGGTTTCTTTAAATGTTTTATGCATATGGATCATCAATATCTGGTTGGAATCATTGTAGACCAGTGATTGCTGTTGATGCAACTTTTTTGAAGTCAAAATTTCGTGGTGTTTTAATGATTTCAGTTTCAAAGGATGAAAATAACCAAATTTTCCCACTAGCCTTTGGAATAACAGAATCTGAAAATAACAATTCCTATGAGTGGTACTTTAGTCAGCTTCGCAATGCAATTGGGAGTCGTGAGAATTTAATTTTTTAATCAGACAGGCATCTAGCTATTGCATATGGCATTGCAAAGGTATATCCTGAAAGCCATCATGGGATTTGCATCTATCATTTGGAGCAGAACCTAAAGCGAAGGAAGGTGAAAAGTGAGGTCATAAAACTTTTTCAAAGTGCTGCAAGAGTATATAGGTGCAAATAATTTGATCTATACATGTCAGATATAGCAAAAGTAGATAAGAAGACTTATGACTACTTGATGGAAGTACCACCAGAAAGGTGGGCACGTTCTTGTAGTCCACGACGAAGATATGACATGGTCACAACAAACATAGTTGAGTCAATGAATTCTGTCCTATTAGAAGCAAGGGAGCTGCCTATATTAAGAATGATGGATTTCATTCAAGTGAAGCTACAATGTTATTTTTATGAAAGAAGAAATGAAGCAGAAGGAACTTTTTATGATGTTTCTTGTTGGGTAGAGGAGGAATTGAAGAAAAAAATAGATTTATCATTTACTTTGAATGTAGGTATTATGTTCTATGTTTAGCTTATGATTGTAATATAAT